GGGAGAAACTCTGAAATGAACCCAGAATGAGCTATGGCGGTGTAAAATTAATGTATAGCAATGTAAACAATTTTAATTTAAGGACGCGGCTACAACAGCCCTCCCTGCAACTCTAATGGCAACCAAGATTTATAATGGAGCAAAAGACAATTATTCTCTCGTTGATTAATACATTAACATTTTGGAATGGAAGCTAAACCACTGTCGCCTTTCCCCACCTTTTTTTTTATTGAGTTTAACCGTGACACCTCCATTAAAATGATTTACTGGCCGTCCCTTACAATTTAAGCACAGCAGCAACAGAAATGGTAAAATTCTTTTAACTTTACATGATTTGTGAAGTCATATGTGAAGGATTTACCATTTAAATCTTTCACTACAAGAAGCACATGGCCAATAAATCTGTCCCACCGACCCCCTGCAGCTGCCCGGGTGCCAAAGAGAAATGCGTTTCACCAGGAAGAGCGAGTTGTGCAAATTTCAGTCCATTTTTAAGAAAGATTGATCTCTCCAAAGACCATACCCCCTCTCTGATGCCTCCACTTCTAATAATATTTGAAGTTTATCGATCAAGTGTACAGCTCCATGACAGCTCCAGGTAATGGTGCTTTTTGGAGGAGAGGAGAAGCTGGATACAAAGCTTTCAGCAGTGGGAAAGGATTTATGGTTCCTATTGATAGCGCCAATTCTGCTCCATGGTTAAATACTCAAAGAGGTAAGTAAATAACTCGTGACCGAAAACTGCTGTAAAATGAAGTTTAATTAAAAAAATAGTTTCAATTAAGAGTCCTTCAGAGGCCTCTTTGCTGCTGTCAACACAAACTTTTCCTTAGGAATATGAAGAGCGAAATCTAGATTCCCACCAGGGACCAGAGGGTCCTTGAGGGAGCAAATGCTGCCACCGCCACAAACCAACCAAGGACCAGGCACCGCCCTCCTCGCAAGGGAAGAGGACCAGGCGGGGCAAGGAGCATGTTCTTGAGCAGGGCACCTAGAGAGGCTCAGCTCCGCAAGTCTGATTTTCACGTGCCTTAATGAGCCCTTGGCATGACTGGGGCGCCTTTTGTGACATCTGTGAAATTTACACAGTCCCGCTGCCCTGTGAAAAGGATGGCCACCCCAGGGTGGCTCCACCCCAGGGTGGGTGGGTGTCTGCGCGCCTAGGCTGTCCTCCCATAACTCCAAGGCAGGGATGGGGCATGGCAGGTTCGCTCCACTCCAGCCTTAGTTCACTTCTAATTAAAATACTGGGCAAGGTCTAAAGTTGGGTTGGGCCATCCTCCCTCCTTTTGGGAGACGTTCCCCAAGTTCTACCTGTGCACTCGGGCTCAGGTGGAAGGTAGCAGGACCTGCTGGGACTGAGCGAGTGGGGCCCTCTCGGCTGCTGGGGGGGGGGCTCTGCGCTATGCTTGGGGCTGCCACCTCTGCAGAGTGCCCAGAGCAAAGCAGCACCTGACATGAGGTCGGTGCTTAACTGTCTTCAGGGGAGAGAGCGCAAAGCGCCTGAATGATGATCATTCAAAAAAAGGCAGCGTTTTTCTTGCCAAGGTGGGCCCTTGTAGATGGACACAGAAATGGCAGAAAAAATGCAATGCAAAGCCCCCACTGACACGCAGCTGGCACAACCAAAGGGGCGCTTGCTGGCAAGTAACCAGCGGATGCCAGTGAAGCATCCGGCTCCCAACGTGCCAGCGGAGAGACTGGGCCACCGCCCCATCCAGCCATCGCACCGACTGCAGCGGCTCTGCTCCCAACCGGCTCTTCTCGGCCAACCCGGGTGGCGCCACCGATCCCCTGCTTTCACCCGGGTGAATTGTCCTTCATCGCTGCTGTAAAGCAAAATCACTGCAAAGTGCACCCCGCTGTTAGTTTGCCCTGGCTGGGTATGCCAAGCACCCGAGCGTGAGGGTACCTAAGCTGTACATTAAGAATTAACCGCGGGGCCCTACGTCTGCCGAGCCACAAGGGAGGAGGCACCAGCCTGCTCGTGGGCGCTGGCAGGCAGAGGCCAACTTTGGAGACGACTGAGAGGACCGACTGAAATGCTGCCTTCTAGCGAAGGCTCGTTTTAGAATGCTACTGGGGGAAGAGACCCCCAACAAGCCGTCCCTCCATTCCGCCTGGATGGGATGTCTCCCTCCGTCCCAGGGAGCAGAGAGAGATGTTCTTCAAGCAGAACGGCCTCCTTCTCTTGCTTTTGAGGTGCCCTCACCGAAAGGCATGGGGAGAACACGTCCTGGAGAGGCTCAACTTGGAGGCATCAGCGTGCCACTTCGTCGCCCCACCTTCCCTGCCTCCGACTGAATCCAGTCCCTGTAGGGACGACCTCAGCCAATGGCAATTTGACTGACTCTCTTTGCTTAGGGGGAAAAAGCTCTCCGCTGAATAGACCACGCATGATGGCTTGCTTTTAGCTAGGTCACTTCATCTGCAGGTGTCCGAGTATGTTTACTTGGCTGTATCCCTCTCTTTTGACTGATTTTAGATTGAATGTGGGGCGCACAAAGTTTCTCACTCTGACTGGAAAAATTATTGGCACAAAATGGTGTCTTCTAAAACATGGGAAGAAATGCAACAGTCCCAGGTTCAGAAGTAGCCACTGCTCCATCACATTTCTCTCCAGTTCACTTTCAGAAATGTTATTCCTTGCTGCTGCTCTTCTCCTGCCATTTTTTTCCTTTTAGAAAGGGGAGTTCTCAGACCTGTGATAACATCATCGGGGCAATTTATATTAGCGGGGAACTTAAGGCTCTCCTTGCGAAGATAAGCTGCTCCAGATCCCATTTCTTAACCCTCATTTGGGAACGAGAGTCTGGAGCTGAAGACAGGCTTCATGGCCTGTAACTGGGTTTCTCAGTGGAGACCCTGGCCAGCCTGCAGCCCCCAAGGCACGTCCCAGGCCGGGCGTCACCCATCTGGGGGGACATCACCTCTAGGAATTCTCAGGCAGGCACGGCCAGGTGGGTGGGGAATTCTGGGGGCTGAAGTCCAGTTCTTAAATGGGAAATGCAAAGAGGATACTCCGATGAGTTATGGACCGTTTAAAAATCAACCACTGGTGATCCGGTTGGATCAAACACTAAAGCTGGAACAAGCCTTCTCTTTTGGCTGTGTGTGTGTGTGGGTGTGTGTACAGACATGCACGCACGCACACACACACACAAAGTTAAATTAAGCCATTTCGCTTTATGTATCACTTTTTGTTGGGAGTACTTTGAGTGTCAAAGGAAGAAGATAAAATTCCATCTGAGAGATTTATCTGCTCATCGAACTGGCAATTTAATGGTTGGGATCTACACCCCGGCTGTCCAGCAGCCTGTTGACATGTCTAACAAAGCACAAAATGGAAGTCCTTCTGTTTTACAGAGGACAGTCGCTGATGGATGCCATCAAAGCGCCTCCACTGAGCAATTGGGGAAAATCCCAGTTACGTGTGTGGAAAACTATCATTTGACCTCAAAAATAAGTGGCAGCTGAGAAGGGCTGCCCAGTTAACCTCCTCTTTAGAGGAAGACGGGAAAGGGAAGCAGTGCTGAGCAGGGAGAGTCTCAGTGGCCAATTCTGAGAAAATGCCACATTCCCTGCTAATCCTAATGTGTTATTCTTTCTTCCTTAAGGTTTGCTTTTCTCAGCACCAATTCAATTACAGATGCTACAAATCCTTCTGACATTTAATTCCTTCTTGTCAGACAGAGCAGTAAACGTAGATCCACGCACAGCTTTTTCATTAAGATGTTAATATACACCTTAGCCTGCTAGCGTTTCTGTCCAGGCGCCTTCCAAAAAGAGGAACAGGGTGCTCGGGCTGTACTTGTGCCCGGCCCTCTTTGCCCAGGGGCAAAATGGCCACCAGGCAGAGGTGGCCTGGGGGGGGTGCCTGCCTTACGGGGCAGCCGTCAATGCCATTCACCAAGCCCCAAATCACGTAACCAAGCAACTGCTGTGGGATTTGGGAAGAAAACAAATCCATCGTCAACATCGGAGCCTTGACTTTGGGGGGCACACCAGAATGGCACCAGAGAACCCCATTGCAAGCTTACTCCAAGGCCTCTGACTCGGGAGCAGGACCATCGGTGGACATCACTCTGTGGCCCAGAGCAGCCTTGTGCAAAACTAGGAGATGGTCCTCAAAATTGGTCAACATCAATACAACCACCGCTTTGGGACTATGAGAACAATGGAAATCTGGGAGAATCATTTAGAATCTTGGCTTTGCTTAGTACACTAATTTTATCTTCTGTATTATTGGAATGTCTAGTATAGAGAAAAAGCATATTTAGAAGTTTATCTTCTGCCAAGACAATTGTGATTTTGCCTAATTAAAATGTTAATTGACAACATTTTAGGGATAGACTTTCCATTACAAAATGAAAGTTTTTTTTTAAAGGGATTATTTGTTGTTTTCACGCACACACACATGAACCCCACTTCATTTAAAAAATTATGACATAATTGTAATGACCTAACCACAAATGTGTTCAATCGTAACTACACCCAAACTTTGGAAGTTTATCAATAATAGGAACCCATTTTTATCTCATTTATACCCAGAATTTAAGCTGAGATATTGGAAACATGTTAGCTATTCTGAGATTTCAGTTTAACCATTCCATTGTCCTCACATTCTACTCTCAATATTTAGCCCGTAAAATTCTAGAAATAAGGATGTGCGGGAGACAAATGCTTAGAATTGTTTTAAAGGAGGCCCATTCTGTGATGCAGTCATCTCAAAAGATATCAACTTTAAGGAATCAACACTGTTTGCACAGCTTAAAGACCTGTTGCAAAGTATCACCTTCTTGCTTGGGAATGGTGCTGGAAGAACTATTATGCAAACCACTTGAGGAAAAAGGCAACTGCAGCTGAATTAACGCTGTTTCCCCCCATTGTGACAGATTATCTCCACCCTCCACTTGCCTACACCTTCTTTAACATTCCCCAAAGCTCAAGACGCATGTTCTCCTCAGACTTAAGCTAGAATTAGCCACATTCCCAGCCCAAAGGAAACTGAGGAGGGCAGGATATTCTTGCTCTATGGCCACAAATCCTAACCAGAGTCAGAGGAGGTTCTCCTACAGTATGTTGATGAAGATTCTCAGTCATCCAGGTGGAATTATCTGGAGATTGAGTCATGGCAACTGGACTTTTCTTTTGGTCTGATACGCTTTGCTGCTTGTCCAAGCAGCTTCTTCAGTCTAGGTTGGTTAGGGGGGACCCCATAAATGTCTTCCAGGGTGGCTGTGTTTCTCACTAACATGATAGGCTCGTTGAAGGGTTAGGGTCTTCCTTGGCAGCTCGGGGCCTGGAAATCAAGGGTCCCTCTAATCAAACTGGCATCTTTGGCCCTCACTGTGGGCTGGGATAGCACGAACAAGGTTGTCCCTGAACCCGGGTGCAAAGAGCACGGAGGGCTTCTGACGTTTTGCCCCTCTTGCTCGCCATAAGCACTGGCAGCACACAGCTCGGTACATTGCTGTTCATATGTTGAATACCCAGGGCACAACAGAAGCAAAGCACTTAAGGAGCCCAGGATGTTTTATTGCTGTGATTTACCTCCTATGCTCCGTGGGGTCTCATTTTCCTTCCTGCTTTTTTCGCTAAGTTATGTAGACCCAGGTATTAAGAGATTCTCTTTAGGGAAAGGGAGGGGCATGCCCCAGACCAACAGGCCTGAAGTTTCTCCCAACCACATTTGTGCTATAAAAGCAAAGGCCTGATGGATGGTTTCTGTGCGGGCTCAGCATGGCTGTTAATTGTGGCAAATTTAGATTTAAGGCTCCCTCCTACAGAAGTTTTAACAGCTCTAGTTGTAAAAGAATTTTCAAAACTATGATTCTATAGCATGTACCCCCCTCCCCTGGGCCTCTCTGTTCAGGCTGCAGTGCAATAGATCATCATCAGAGCAATGGCATGGTCAGGAGTGATGCTCAAACGATGGTGCAGTGACCAACTTCCCATCACCTTCGCTTCTGAACTACGCTGCGGTCACCACCCAAAGGCAGACAAGACCTATCTTAAAGGAGCACTCTCTGTTTTGCCCCCGAGCAAAATCTGCCTTGCACACTGGAAGCTGGTGGCAAATCAGACTTTCCAGTTGATACCTGAAGGGCATTTAGGCACAGGCTGAACTTGCCACCTCAGACTCCAGAAAGAATGGAGGATCCACGAAACATCCCAACTGCAGCCCCTCATGTTCTTCCTTCCAGGAGGAGCAAGACACAAACTGCTTCACCTTCATAGCGCCAACCTCACCCCAACGAAGTACTAAAACAAGGGTGCAGCCTTGCTGCAGGCAAAGCAACATTCACATTCTTCACTTCCTCACTCCAACACACGCAGGTCACCGATTCTGCCTGGTGGCCCTGGGGAACCCCTGCACCAGTCCCTTTGAAAATGACGGGAGACATACAATGTCACCTCCCCTCGCAACAGATGAAAGCTGGTATCGGATCAAGACTTGCACTAACTCTAAAGTTGTTCTCTGCCTTTGTTCAGCAGCATGGCAGAAAGAGACCTAATTGAGTCTCTCCATCCCCGTGGAATTCAGGGATGGGCCTCCAGGGGCTCATCTAGACAGCTGGGCGAAGAGACCCACACCCAGGACAGCTGCACGAATCTGACCTCCCTGAGTAAGTACGGCTTCCCGAAGTGGCTGAGAGCTTGACGGACTGCCCTCATTTGTTGTGAAATAATTCAAGGAATATTTATTCCCCAACAACAATCCGAAAAGGTTGAGGCTGATCCTCGTAACTGCCTGGTATTATTCATTAGCCCAGTTTAACATCAAGTGCGCCGCACCCACTCTAATTTAGTGATGGGCTATTTAAAGCTAGCGTTAACCTGTTTGTCTTGTAATATAATTGAATTTGGTCTCTAATTTAAGCGAGTGAAATTCAAGGAGTTCATCCTTCCTCAATCAATATGTTCCCCTTCAGTGACCCATTTCAAGATAGCTTCATAAAAAATAATGTATTTTGTTTTAATAAATTTAATCACTATGACAGGTGCTCAATTTTTATTGGCTGCTTCTCCAGACATCTCTTTTCCAAAGCCATGCTTGCAATCAATAGTAATTGATTAATCAGCATCCCCTATGAACAAAGGTGCTAATCAGTTTTTGATTAGTTAATCAAACTACACCGGTCCCCTTTGATTGTGGCATGCTCTACAACCTGCAGAAAGGGAAGGAAGCTCTCGGGGCTGCATAAACAGCAGCTTAGTCTCTACAGAAACTGGAAAAGAAGGAAAGGATAAAATCTACAGCGCAGGAAAAACGGTAAGCATTCTTAACCTAGATTTGTAATTCTGATTAAAAGATAAAGCACAACACGCTGTACTGGGAATGGGTTCAAAGCCCCTCTTAGCTCTAGACTGGGCAGCGTCCTGTGCAAAGCAAAGGGCAGGCATTAACGTGGGAAGGCCATCCCCCCCGCCCCCTTCCCGGCAGACGTGCCATTTGCTGTAAAGGAATAAAGTCGGTGTGCAATTAATGAACAGGCTGGGCGTGCAGACGAGGAACCCGCCTCCTCCTCCCCACTAACAGGACAGGCGGCCCTGCCAGCGCCCCCAGACGCAGCAACCTGGAGTCTGTGCCCAGGCTCCCTCTGGCATGCCCTGAGCGTTTTACAAAATAATCCACATTTCAGGTGAGAGACCTTCCAGGTAGGATTTGGCTCAGAACAGCTGCTCACAGCCTGCTGGGTAACTGCTCTGCTCCTTCTGCCCCCCGCCCCTTAAGCCTTCAAGCCGCCCCCCATCTTGGGCGACTTCCAACGGCTGGGAAGAGGGAGAGCCCAGCCCTGGGTTGGGGGGACCGTCTTCCGGAGGAGTCCAGGGGCCCGGGATGCGGCTGGGTCTCAGCTGCAGGGTGCTGGGGAAAGCAGTCAGACGCGAACAAGGCGGAGAGCAGATGCAGACAACCACACCGAGGCCAGCCCTTACCTGAGAGATCCCCATAGTCCAGCTCTTCGGCAGTATTGGGCAACTGAGTAAAGCCTTACAAATAAAAACAAACTCATTTTTCTGTGTGTTCCGCAGGGCATGAAAAACAAAACACTTAAGAACAGAGGACGATGATCTCAGGAAAAGTTATTTGCCATCTGACTTAATTTTGCTCAGATTAGCCTGCAAGGGAGGCTCTGCAACCAATTCATATCTATCAAATACATGTATGCGTGTGTGTGTGTATAGATATATATATATATATATAAATATAAACACACACAGAGACAGAATGTTTGTGTCTTTTAAATCTACAAGAAGACCAATACACCGTCAGGAAAAAAAAAATCTTGGTCTGCTCTATTTGAAAAACACAAAACATAAAAGGGAACATTCAAAGCCACTCACCCGAAGTACATGCAAGAAGTATTTCCCCAACTTGTTTCCTGCAAAACTTTCCAGGGTAAAGGGATTTGGTTCTTTTCATGAACAGCTCCAGTTAGATGCTTAAAATGTGCATTTTTTTTCCAGGTTTCTGTATACATTTCAGTCTTGTGGCAATGCCAGCTATAATATTCTCTTACCAACACAGAGCTCCGCTGGGCTGCGTTTTCAAAACAGGTTTACAGCCATGGTGAGTTGGTGCTTTTATGGGAAACGTTTTGGAAAAATCACGGAGTCTGTTGCTTAGAAAGTCATCTCAAAGCTGATAAAGTGTGTCTGTGTGGGGGGGCTGGAGCCCCTCCAGCTTTCCTGAAACTATCTTGCTTTCAAACCTTGAAGCATGCATGTTTAAACAGCTGTCCCTCCCCTACTCGCTTTACAACGGCAGTTTTGCGGGGAGGCGTTTCAGCTCAAGGTTAGGAAAGGGAGCGCGCCAAGGCCTGCGGCTCTCCCGCAAAGACCCTGCGCTTGCTTATGGGCAGAGAGGACCCTAAGAGAAGAACTCGGGGGAGGACGCCGCTGGAAGCTGGGGCCGGGCTGCTCGCCTCCCACCCCGGTCTCTCCCCCCCCCCGGAGAAAGAGGAGCGCATTCTGAGGGCATGTTTTGAGCTGACAAACGACAGGCGACTTTTCCCCTCTTCTTCTTTCTGCTTCCCCACTCTGCAGTGCTCAGTTTGGTCCTGGGAGACGTCCTCCCCTGAACTGAGCCATCTCGGCCGCTGCACATTGGGGGTTGTCAGCGTGTTAATTCATTTTTTATTTCAGCGCTTTGCCAGCCATTCGGGTGATGGTTGCTGAGTTGCAGAGTTAACTTTGAAAAGGAGGCTACCTCCTGGCCTCTGAACATGGCAAGACTAAAGTGTGTGTGGGGGGTATCAGTTGTGCCCGCTGCTTTAGCTGCAGATATAGCCTTGTTTAGCGCCAAATGAATCTCCTTCTGGGCAAACAAGCAGCTCTTTGACTTCTTGTGGCTTTGCGCACTGGGCTCAGGGCCAGCGTTTACATTCAGAACTCCTGCTTGGGCTCAAAGGGAACCTGGAGCTTGGGAAGGGCTCCGTCTGGGGCTTTGGAGGAGGCTCTTGAAACTGAGCCAGTCAGGCTAAAGATGTCACCTTGGAGGACAGCTTCATAGACAGACCCCCTCAACTGTGGTTGTGAGGTACACTAGAATGGTAAACCATTCCTGTACACACCCAACTCTGAGGAGATGCATCTGCCCCAAATGACCAGAGGCCCTGCATGTCCATTTCTTTTACTGTTGTAAATATATTTATGAAATCAGCCCACATTACAATTTTGGTGTTTGGGAAAGATCTTTGCAACTTCAGCCTTTGGCCCTCCCGTGAATGAGAAGACCTTCCCTCCCTGCTGCAGACTAACAGAGGCTATGTTACCCTTACAACGCTGAAGCTTTTGGAACGGTTGAGTAAATACTTGCTTCAGCATAATTTGGATAACATCTCCAAGTTCCAACATCAGAAACCTGCAGGCTCTTAATAAAGACATCAGTAAAAGGAGAACAGAAGGACTGAACACTCATGTGCTACGGCCTTCACACGTGTCACTTTACTGGCAGGAGCAGAAGTGCACTAAGCAAGAGGTAAGTTACAATTCATCGGTAGGGGCTGGGAAGAGCTGGATCTAGAAGGCCTTTGTTCCATCAGAACCTGAAAGACCAGTGCTGTCCACCCCATTGGTTCTGGCTCGTAACTAGGTTCTGGGATGGGACGTAGTCTGGGCTAGCTAAGTATCACCAGGAATTAGACTTGATCGAATTGCCTGCTTAAGAGAAGAACCCTTTAAGGTTAAGGAGAATTTGAGAAAACTGACTTAAGATCACATTATTTTCAGGTCTTTTCTTTTTCACTGTCAGAATTTTTTTTCTTAACCATAAAAAAGGGCAAAGCTGCATCTTTTATGAAGCAAAGGGTGTCTTACTTCTGCTTCCCTACCCAAAGGAAATAGAATAGTTCAACTTTTCCGCATAAATGTCAACAAATGTTTTGAGAAATAGTCAAGAGGGATCTTAAACATGTCACAAAGTATGCCTTGGCTTTTTTTTTTTTATTAAAAGGTTCATTTGACCTTTATTCTTCACTTTTATAAGAAAGCATTCACATATCTTTGCAGTTTTTCTGAATAAATGAAAATTAACTTTCCACTGCTTACAGTTCTTTCACCACATGGATTTAAAGAAGTGAAAATCAACTGAGTAGGAAGGGCAACGGTGGAGCACTTGTATCAAGATGAGAAAGCTAACATTCCTTCTGCAGACGTGTATTTGCCCAACACCACTCCTACTGCTTCCAGAATTGATCTGAGAGCAGCAATCAATTTTCCTTTCCTTAAAAATAAAAAAATTAAGAAAATATTATTCTGAAATGTGTTTATGGCATAAGTCTGGAGAGCTATTAAGTAATACAAACTTACTTATTGAAGCTTCCAGGCAGGATATAAAATAGTTGGATAACATCTGGACAAGAATGTGGCATCAATGGGACACTGTTAGCAGGCAAGACATGCAGTTGAACATAAAGGTACTCATGCTAGCCTGAATGGAAATTAGCAAAGGGGACTACCTGTATTTGGAACAGTTTGGGTAAGAAAAATGCAAATTTTATGTGGCTAGAGGGTTTGTTTGGCAGAAATCAGGTGATCACTGAGAAGTGATCAACAGAAAATTCTTTCTGAGATTTAAAACCTGGGTGGCTTAAGAAACTCACATATAAAATGCAATACAAGTCAGTATAATGAACAATTAAAATAGTAATCTAATTAAGTCTTGATTTAAATGAGTGCTAAAAGTAGTGAGTTAAATTTACTGAGTATGGTACCACTGCTGCTAATTAATCCCTGAAGGCCTTCAGGAAGACCCATGTCTTCACCTGATTCCAGATGGCCATGCAGGTGGGAGTCATCCTTGTCTGAAGTAGAGGAGCTGCTACAGAGAAGACAGCTGGGGGGCTCCCTCCTACTGTACCACCTGGTAGGTGGGGGCTCTCAGCAGGCATTCCTTGTTTGCGTATGATGGGCAGAAACTTTGGGGGACTAGTGGTCTCTAAGATACCCAGGCCTGAAGCCAAACAGTTCTAGGTAGTAACCGGCACCTTGAATTTTACTCAGAAACCTACTGCAGTGGACGTGTAACGTGACAATAGTGTGACTGACTACTAAGCATGCATCCCACTGCATTCTGGATTAGCTGAAGTTGCTGGGGGTCTTCAAGGGCCACCTCATGTAGAGCGAGTTGCAGTACCCTAACTTAGAGGTGACAAGGGCATCTTCAGCGCACCCTGTTCCAGGTAAGGCCACTACTGGTGAACCAGCTAAGGCTCTGCAAAAGCCCTCCTCCTACGTTCTCCACATGCTCTTCAAACCAAGCCATGAACCCAGGAGGACCCCCAGATTGCAAACCTGCACAACTCATCAAGAGTCAAAGATGGTGCCATCCTGGAATCAGGCAGCCTCCACATTGTAAGAACTGCTCCATCGTGTTTGGGTTGGGTTTATGCCCAGCAAAGTGGGTGTTTGACATGATGTGTTTAAGCCACTACAGAGCTGTAGCTCAGTTTAATCTCCACCCTAGGTGGTACTAGATGGAATAATGTAAAATGTCATCCTCATTTCTGAGCAAATATGCCCATGTGAAGTTCAAGAAACTGAGTAACCCATAGCCTTCTATGTTGCTCTTGCAGTTCTTGACAACGAACAAGGGCAATATGCAATCACCTAAGCCCAGAATTAGTTATGCTTGCAGAAGATCATTGTGAATTGTTTCAGCTTATACTCATTTCAGTTAGCCTGTTTATAAGCTTGACTATGTCTGGATTCAGTCTTCAATGAAGAGGATCTTCCTGTGTGATCAGTGTTGCTTGACCCTGGGGCAAAGTTTCTATTTAATTGTATTTCATTGGTCATACAGAACATTTTTTTCATCTTTCTCCCCCCCCCCTTTTAAAGGATGGTCTATAACATTATTATGGCTTGTTTTACCTGTTAAATTTTAATGGATTGGCTGCAAGACTGTTCTCTGTAAAGGAACCAAGATGTGGTATTTTAGATTTTCTATACACACACACACGATTCACAACTTGAACTTCACTTTCCTCTCTTCTGCTCCTAGTTTGCTTCATCAGCTTTGAGAATGACATGGAGTTTCTTCACTCCCTTAGTGATGTTGGAGTTCTGTATAATTCTTTTTGTCCCGTGTTTAAATATGACAGGCAAGACCCAATTCCTAGGCTGTGAGGCTGTTCAGAAATTGTTCCTCCAACTTTTTTTTTTTTTTTTAAACATTTGGGGACTGAGTGGGTGGGGGAAGGTGTGCTGGAACGTTATACAATGTTGAATTTTAAACGGATAGATAAGTGGATTTATTTAAAAAACTGTATGGGGTTTCTGCTCTAGGACGATGAGGAGAGGAGGCAGATGTTGTGAGGGATCCAAGGTTCTCCTGAAAGCCCAGTAATTAATGAGTACTGAGTCGAGGGGGGAGAATCAAATGCCCTTTCAGCACCTCTAACGCGGGGTCTCCATTTTTCCCAGCGCTGTGAGATGCGGTCTGCTTGGGGGATTACACCTGGCGACACAACTGGAAGCTCTGAAGAGCAACCGGTCTGTTTCCTCTCTTTGTCAACAGCATCACTGAAATGTAGACGTGATTTTAAAAGGGGTCTCTGGTTCTCATGCACGCACCAATTATTGGTTATTGAGGATAAAGGGCACATGAGCACCATTTGCAAAAAGGAAAAAGACATTCCAGAGAGAGAGAGTTTCACTGGACAAGGACTTGGAAAGGTTTCTCTAGGAACACTAAGTATATTCTGGGAAATGGCATGAAAAACAAGTTGTTCTGCTTGTTCAACTGATCTGGGGGACTGAGTTTTTCCAAAAGGCATCTGAAACACGAGGTGAGAGTTAACAAAGGAGGAGAATTCTGCAGCCGAATCCAGAGCGTCAGCTGCCGTGAACATGCTTTTACCAGAGTTCTGGCAAGGAAGGCAGACGGGAAGGGGGAGAGACACATACAGAAATCTGGAAGCTTAAGATTCTCAGCATTATGTAGGGGAAGAGTTAAGTTTTCGTGCTTTAAACTTGCCATGCATCGCTGTGGGTCAGTCCTGTGCTGTGAGAGGAGGACCTGTGGGTGGGGGTGGCTACAGTTCTGCATGCACTCCACAAACTCATCTTTTCTCCCAGTCCTTTAGGACACATTCCCAAAAGGGGGAGGGGGGGAGGGGGAGGGCCAGGCACCTTCGCTCCCATCCAAACACCCTTGAACAAGCACCTTCTGGTATTGGCATTCCATCTGTGTCCTAACTTGGCATTGTTTTTGGAGGAACTCCATCCGGTCCACAGGAGCACCATGCCCATCATGCATTTCTCACTAGCCACAGACATGCTGATGCTTATTTGGACACTGGTCAGAACAAAATGGCCAACACACACAAGAAATACCCGGTCAACTTCAGACACACTCTGGCAATGCAAGCTTGGAAGGAGACTGTGAGGAGCTGCAAACGGGAAAGAGGGTCTCAACGAATCCCCTTTTTTCCGCTCTCTCTCTCTCTTTTTTTTAAGGCAGAAAGCATAGGGTAAGTTTGCTAATTGGAGAGCGATGAAACTTCTGCCATCCCTGATGCACTGACACTATTCAAAAACAACTGTTCCTTTCGCTTGGAGCAGATCACTGTTTTCTAAAACATGTACATGAACTTGCTAAAAATCAGCAAGAGGTACTTTATTCCTCCTGCTGGGATGTTTAAGGTGTTTTTGGGGGCGGGGTGGTGGTGGCTTTAAGTAGACTGTCTCTAATGTTGGATATTTATGTATTTATTTATTTAATTATTTGTTTGTTTAAACAGACCAAGGATACTTGCAGGATCAAGGGTGGATGCAACTATTCTGACAAGCAAAACGCTGAATTATTCTCTCTGGGGAGCACCTTGAGGAAACTCGATCATTGCTTGTACTGCAGACTTCTCTTCCCAGCACTCCACGCTCCAATGCTTTCCTTGCAACATTTCGGATCTTTCTGCTCCTAAGGGTGGCCTCAAGGATTAATTTTTATAAGATTAGAAATTGGAGAGCTTATACATATCTTCCTTTCATGGACTGCTGGATGTCATAAGTGAATACAAGGTGATTTCCCCTGTTAGCTCACCAAGGCTGGTCCTTGGCGAGAAATAAACTCATTGGTTTATCTCTTGTCAGTGCTAACTGTTCTCTAGTCCAACTCAAACCAGTAAAATCCCAAGATTTTGAGACTTTATTCATTTACAGTTGGCTGTACGTTCTCAACTTACTTAAAATGTATCCCCATATTTATTACTTCATTTATTACATTTGTATGCCACTTTTCTATTTAGAAAGAACATTCGAAGTGGCTTGCAGTAAAAACTGCATACACAAACATAAACATGAAGTAAAAATAAATACAGAAGACAAAGTATAAAAACAGGAAGCTGAATACATACATTCGTGTGCATTTATTTATGGCAATGATTTACATTGCACTTTTTGGGATGAAAAAAGGCAATATAAATAATTGCAAACAAACATGAGTATTATTTAAAAACAAAACACATGGTTTCTAGGTTCCTTGCCACGGGGCAGTTGGTGGCCATGAATCTGCCTATTTATGACACGCACTGGAACGAACGTTATGCTCCCAACAGATACTGGGGCCCTCAGATCAGCCCTTCTCTAACTTGCTCTGTTCTTCTCTCTTCTTTATCTAATTTTATTCTTCGCCATTGCTGAATAACGGAAATAGGAAGATTTCTCTTTTTACGGTGGAAGCATAGAAATGGGGGCCAGATGTTTGGTTTCCATGCTACTCAACTATTCTGGGCATCACTGTGGCTCACATTACTAGGCACAGTCAAAAGAGAGGCAATCACATTTGACAATTTGTGCTGCTGTACATAATGACAACTCTTCAAGAAATAATGGCTCTCTTTGGAAGAAGCAGCATGCCATTATTGGGCATGCTAAAATAACTCCAGAAAGGAATTGGCAATGGAAAGTCTCACTTTCTCCATAATACCAAGATGGTCACAAGAGACAGTTCCAAAAGTTGCAGATTGCTATAGAATTTGGTATCTGTCGACAATCCTTGCAAAACTTTGGACCAACAACAGATAATCTTGTACTCTCCAGGTGCCTGGATTTCCACTCCAACCAGTGCTAGCTAATTGCAAAGGACAGTGGGGAAACCTCGTTCAGCATTCCAGGAGCTCAGTGTGTTTTTTTCAGTCTTTGAATTGAACGATCAAGAAGTATGGAGCGCCTATGTCTCCTGATAAAATAGAACTGAGGATGTGCCATCACTTAGACCAGTGTTGTCCAAACTTGGCCACTTTAAGATGAGTGGACTTCAACTCCCAGAATTC